GCCTTTCAACTTTTTTTGCGCTCTATTTGTCCCAAATTGATCAGCTGGCATTTTTCAAAAACCTTAACCTTACAAAATATCAGTTGTGAAATATAAATGCTTACGCTCAGATTGTAAAATTGTTTCAAGTGTTACGAAAAATTCAATTCAAAGATGAAGACCAAAAACACACTATTTGACCAAAAAGTTTGACCAAGCCCAACATCTTTATCACTTTCTTTGTAAGAACAAAAAAATTTCTGAAAAATTTAAAAGCGATTAATTCACGCATGAAGTTTCAGGAGGTCCGGTTTTTTTGTGTTTTTTTTTGTTCAGATATATGCCTATGATGCGGGCATTTGTTTTTCAATATCAGTAATCTGCAAAAACTTCAAATTTATAGAACAGAATTTGAGAGAAATGTGGTTACATATAGTTTGAGCAAATAAACTTTCTGTTCACGTTTCATACACGATGTTTGTAACCAAAATTTGAACTTTATACGAAACTCTCGGCCCCAAATTTTCAATATTCTGACAAATTTGTGAAAAGATGGGTTCCTTAGTGCCAAAAAGTGACTATTCTTCAGGGTGATTTTCCAAATAATAATCATAATGCTACACTGAATAACAATATTGAGGCAGTTTTATATACAAAGAAATCAAACGTATCCGATCTCAGTCATCTAAACAAAACGGTTGAAGTTTGAAACAATTTGATCCAATATTTTTTCCTAATTTTACTAAGAATTGAAAAAAGATTCAGATATTAATTAAATTTGTCATTAAAATTTCAGATATAAATAAAAACGCACTAAAAAGGCAACGAATTAGATTGATTTTGCGCACTTTTTCCTAAATGTTTCAACCAATTTTTTTGACATTGAGGCAGTTTTTAGGATCAGATTTACAAGTAGAGTAGTTTTTGTTCCAACTTTTGTAACAAAATTAACGGAATATTTGTGCTCGGGACGGGTTTTATCTCACCTGTGAACAATTTTTGTAAAGTTATGAGATGAGGGTTTAAAGATTGCCATTTTGGCCAAATTGGGACAATAACCGCGCCATTAACGCGTATTTTGCGCCTTTATTTTGCGCCATTAACGCGTAAGCGGAGATGTAAATAGTCTTACAAATCGTTCCAAATTGTTTAAAGGAATTTTATTTGCCATAATTGATTTGTTACCAATAGCGAATATATCACTTTGTTGTTTATTTGGCGTGTGGGGATGATTTTCACAAAAAATTTCAAATAAAAAAAAATGTTTCTTTTTATTTTATTACATTTACTTTTTTCATGTTATTACTGCTACATAGACCTTTAAAGGCAGTCGGTACACTCAGGGCTTTGCCCTGATGTGAGTAGTCTTGTTATGATATGAGCTGTCTCTGAGTTATCTCAAACTGATCGGAGCGAAAAACGAGTTGAAAAAAAAAACGGCGCTGAAGTTTTTTGACGCTCAAATCTAATCACTGACAATCTGATTTTGTCTGATATCATACTCCCTTTTCAGCCTAAAGTAGCTAGTTTAATTTCAATTGCCTTTCTACATTCTTGAGAAGGGCAAAAAATTTTAAAATTGAGAATAATTGTTTTCTTTTTAATTTTTGGATCAAATTAATATCCTCCCCCCCCCCCCAAATAGACCAAATTAAAGTCCTCCACACCCCAGCGCTTAATTTAAATTAAATTTCCATGTAAAATGCTCGATTCTAAAAATACTAGCTGAAAAATGTTAAGGATGTTAACTTGGTCCTAATTTTTTGATCAAAAACTAGCCTGAAAATTCAATTGGATTGTTTTTTCAAAAAAATTTCAGTAGATCACCTCGTCCGCCTTATCTGTCGATGGTTTGACCAGATTTTCTGAAAGCAGATTTTCGGAGATACTTAGCACAGTGGTAAGGCGTTCACTTTGAAATCGTCAGATCGTGTATTCGATCCCATGCCATGGCAATGATAGTGTGTGAGGACAAGCTATCACTTGACCTCCAGCTTCAGGTCTACCACAACCTGACCAAATTTGGCTGCAATAGTGGTACCACGTAAAAGTTCTAGACGCAAAAAAACGGCCTTGAGTCGCAACAAACAGCTTCGCTCAGCAAAATAACTCTGTCTGGAATGTGGGGAGATAATACAAATGGACTGACTATCCTCGACAGGACTGTTAAGGCCTACTGATAGCTCCTCTGCGATTCGCAGGAACTACAATTATTATTATTTAACAACCAAAAAAGACATCAATGGACTTTTTTCAGGATACTTCTAAAACTACACTAAACATATAGTCTCTGACACTGTATAAAAAAAAACCTTTTAAATGTCGCGCATTCAAAATTTGAGCCTAATCTGCCTTGAAAAACACGAGTCGGTCAAGGGGGTTAAGAGAAAAGATTGTTTTCTGAAAAAATAAGGTATATTAATTGAGCTCTGATAAAAAATCGATTATGTAATTTTGGTGTCCTGGACATGGGACGAAAGAAAACTCACGCAGACGTATTAATGTTGGTTTATTGCGCTTATTGGTTGACGAAAAAAATGACGTAATTGAGTGGAGTATATTGGAAGTGCTTCCTGCATGATTATCACGGTTAGCTAAACCTTTTGATATCAATTTCAATCGAATTTTATAATTTAGTTTAAGATTGATTGTACGACATGGAAACTGGATATAAACAAAAGAAAAACACCTGAACGAAGAGAGAGGAAAAATAAACAAAGCTTGCCTGACATTTAACAACGTACACTAGTTAAGGATATTATATTTACCCCTGTTAAAAACAAACAACACACTACCATTTTGAACCAAATTCTTCAAAATGATTTCAAATAGTCTATCGCCTTTTAACGAAGGTTAATGATCAAGAAACATCAAAAGAGCGTTCACAAAATTATCATTTTTCCATCAATTTAATTACATTTTCTTGTTAATTACAAATGATCTCCTAAGCTTCAAAAAAAATGAGCAGCCGTTTCAAAAGTAGGGCTAAAAAGGTAATGTTTTTTCTTGCGTTCTTAAGTTACGATGTGGTCAAAATTCTCAGCACATTTCGATCAGCTAAAAATTTGATAGCGTTTTATGGAGAAAATAATCAAACAAAATGTGCTACTATTTTAATTTAGATCGTAAATAAGTCTAAATAATAGGAATAAATTGTCGAATGCTGTTACTTCTGCCAAAGCCATGAGAAGAGAAAAATTTCCAGAATTTTCATTTTTTTTAAAAATTTTAAAACTTTTTTCGACTTGGACAGGTGCTAAGAGCGGCTTCAAGAATTAGATCATTACAGCTTAATCATCCTTAAGAAGTAAATTTCTGCAATGAAATTTTCTCAAGTTTGAGACTGGGTTTAAAGTGTAAAGAAAGTATTTTGTAAATTGTAAGCCTGAAATGATTAGCTAAACCATTTCATTATGATTATTATAATATGGAAAAATAGAAACTCTTCACGGGAGTGGAGAGTGATTTTTCATTCTATTTTCGGCTGAGTAAGCATTTTAAGCCGGTTCTTTCGACACGGAGAAAATTTTATGGGAGAAGTGTTCAGGAGATTTGATACCTGCCCGGATTTTTTCACGAAATCAGATTTTTCTAACTTTATTTTAGAATTTTGTTTCGTTCCGACAATTAAAAGTAGGGAGATAGTTTTGCCTTCGAGTGTTTTGGTTTTCTCTTTTGGTTCTGAGAATTATGAGAATGGGTCGAAAGATATATCATTTTAAAGCTTTTTGAGTCGTAAGTCTAACGAAATTAAAATTAACGACTCTTTAATTTTCTGTCAAGTAAAGCAAGCGAGCAGACTTGTATATCTAATATAAATAAATTGAAAAAACTTTCTAATGAAAATTTTTGAAATCTTCTAATCATATTTCGAAAACCTTACATGGCCAAACTTTTTGTGAACTGTTAGCGGATTCCGCGACAAAGACGCTCTCTTTGATCTTCCTTTGTTCTTTTTTTTGTTTTCTCTGATTGTTGCAAAAATTTTTAAGTAGGTTTAAAGACTTGTCTCTGGATTCCTCAGACTTGCACACACTAAATTGTGCGCCTATCTAGTGCACAGTTTGGCCTCGTAATGAAAAAATGCTTGAAGAATAAACTTAATTCACTATTGAAATTGAATATGACTAATCGCTTAAATTTGTTCATATCACATCACGACAAAAAATGATCCTATTAAGAAACAAACTGTTTATTAATTTTTTTTCTAATTGTGGTCAGAAATTTGTGTTGTATTTGCACAGCAACCGGCTGTACTTCTTTGACTTTTTACTTTTAGCCAGGGTTACTTACAGATCAATTGGTCTCTTTATCCATCTTTTTGAAGTTCAAGCATTTATTTTTTCAGTGCTACTATATTTCATATGTCTATACTTAGTTCAGATGTTCGGAAACAACTTTGAACTACGATCGCCAAAAAAATACAGTAGAACTATTCCGCGCCAATTGTAAAATGTTGAATTATGATAAAGTTTTCTGCTACTTTTTTGCTCAATGGCATGGTCTCATAGACAATAAGATTTCAAAATTCGGATTGCTTTCTCGACAGCGCAAAAACTTCAAGAATTTGCCTTGCAACTTGAACTACGTCAAAAAGATCACTCGTGGCATCTGATATCGCGCAGAAAACACCATCATTTAAATAGATTCTCGCTTCTAGTGGTCGGAAAGTAATCTCTTCCTGCATAAATTATGCTCCATCTTATGCAAATATTTATTGTGACATGCAATGACAATTTTAATAAAAATCTAGTTTCTTAGTAGTTTTTTTTTTTTAGTTCTTAATACTTCTGTTCTGTTATTTATACATTTTCAAAATACGCAAGTTGACCCAAAATGGGGCATACACGGACATATTTGTAAAAGAAACAACTTTTTGGAGTTTTTGATAGAAATAAAAAATGGCATCAGAAAGTGATTGTGAAATGATTATGTTCATTTCATTTTTATCTTTTTGCTTGTAATTGTCTCAGCAGTAGGCTAGTTTTTCAAATCAGAGTTCTTTTTAATTTTGATTACAGGCCGCGTCCAACAAGGAACTCTCCTCCCCAAGCTCCTCCCGTCTCGCTGCTCTCGGGAAAATGTTCCGCTCAATGGGGTCCCGCGGCAACACTCCTCTCAGCTCAACCGCGAATCTCAGGTCCGGTTCGAGCTCCTACTCGGGAATAGATGAGCAGGCTGTGGCGAAAGAGGCGGTCAAAATTGTTCTGGCGGGGTCCAAGAATGGAATGTCCACTTTGTGTGGGGAGTTTGCGAAGATTATGCGAGACAAAATGAAGTGAGTTTGGCCGATAAAATGAGAATTCCCCATTGCATAGATTTCATATAGTTATAGGTAATTTTTAAAAAACAAAGCATTGATGAAAGTATCGATTAAGGCTCAATAAAGGCTCAAAATTATTCTTTGCTCATCCCAAACTTTTTAAGAAAAAAAGTTGTGATACGGTTTTTGATATGAATCAATTAAATCATCTCAAGATTGTATTTTGAGACAAACAAAAATTAATTTTGAGCCTTTATTGCTATTAAAAAAAATAATTTTTACTTTTCAAAAAGAGTAATTTTCAGCTTTTATTACTACAAAAATTATGTGATAATTTAGCAGACAGTTTGCCGAAAAACGTGGGCAGTCATCCAACTATGTTTTCAAAAATGAAATCCATTTAAAAAAATATCATTTTTACTATAAAATAAACAATTCTCTCGAAACTTTAAATTAAGAGACTGATCTTTCAAAAAGAAAAAAATGTTTTTTTTTCAACAGGTATGAGCGTGAAAACCAAGTGATGAAAAAAGAACTGGCCTCAGTGAAAGGAGAGGTTGAGCTGCTGAGAACGATGTTGGATGCAGCCAAACAGCAACTACAAGAGCACAGATCGGCTGGATCATCTGGCTCCTCTGGCTACAACACTCTGGGAGATGACTCGCAATGTGGGGGTGCACCTGTTCAGCAGAATGAGGAGGGGGGTCATAATCACGTGATGCATGATCACGTGATGAGTCCAATGGACTCGAACGATTCAGTCGCACCCAGACCAGTGAGACTTTTTTTTTCAGAACTCCGCAAAGGGAGCCTTAGAGTTCTGTATGAAAATTTGGATTACGTTACTCTATGTAGAAGCGTTTTGAATGAAGCATATGAGAATTTGTCAGGATAACACTGAGAAAACGTTTTATATTTTACTTAGAATTTGCATGTAATGTACTTTCAAAAGCTCGCATTTGAAAATACCATATTTCGATAAAGCGGCAGTAAAAATTCCGAAAAACATAATTCTCCATTAAAAGTTAATTTGTGCAGTGTTTTTTTTTAAAGAGAGGGGTTGACTTAAGTTTTTGTTTGTACTCTATAATGAAACAAGGACAGCCAGCTGCTGTGCAGGTTGCACTTAATGCTCCGGTAACGACACTTTAAGCAAAGAAGTTCAATAACAATAAAAAAAATAACAATTTGTTTCAACTTTTCAGTCGAATTAAGGCAATTGATGTCTGTAAAGTAGGATGGTGAAATTACTTTACAAAAATTACGCTGCTTTAGAAAAACTTTACGTCACACTTAATTTTTACGAGCTGAGGTAGCCAAAAAAAACTACCCTACGCCATAGCTCCTTCCCCTTCTAAAAGATTGATCAGAACAAAAATAAGCTCCATAACTTTTTCCTGATAACTAAAGATGAAGCAGAGAAAAAATGACTTAACTATTCAACTTGTTCTGAAATTAATTGTGAAACATTTTGATTTAACTAACTTGATCAAACAGCCGCATAAATTAGTTTATATCTTTTTTCAACCATTTTTCGAAATTGTATGAAAATTGTATGACAAGCATTTTCCGCAAATTTGATGTTTAGAATTGTATGATAAGCATTTTCGGTGTATGGAGGATAACCCGGGTTATTTGATTTCATTCACGTTTTAGTGTCATTGCGATGGAAATGCGATGAGCTGCGACAACTGCAACTGTCACGAACACCACTCAACATGTCAGCACTGCTGTCTATGCAATCATATGACACAGTTGAGGTGCACATGCACCCTCGAAACACCCCCTTGCAACTGTTCCTGTCATCATCTGCGACACTTCCCTTCTTCCGACTACCAGACAAACAGCCTCGCAATCCCTCATAGTTCCATTTTGGGACCTCCGATTCCAGAAGAACCCGAGGATCCCGAAGAATATGAAGACTTCGAGGACCTGCCGTGTTTCTCAGTTGCCTGTCAAACCAGTGATCTCTTCAATTTTCACCAGCCTGTGATTACAATAGACGCTGTTTGCCAGACCAAATTCGCCGCTTTGAATCCACGAGAACCAGAAACACAAACAACAGCGTGTCAAACCAGCTTTAAAAGTACCCAATCTTCAGAAGATTCAACCGTCAGAGTAGTGAGAGGTTCGATTCCCGCTCACGATTTGACAGTCAAAACACCTCTAAGTGATTCTGTTTCACGATTGCCCCAATTCCAAATTCCAGCTGTTAAAATCCAATCTGACATGAGCACTCAAAGTGACCCAAGTGTCAATGAGACGAGTAAAAATGTCCAAGCAGAAGTTGCCATGATGACGATGGACTGTCAAACTGAGAGTGAAGATTTCCCGAAAATCACCCAAAAGTTGGGTTCTAAGAGCTCGAATTCCCAAACTGAAGAAGCCCAATTGGAAAACACATGCTGTCAAACTGGGTCTGATCTAATCCGGACTTTTAACATGGGGACCCAAACTCCTGGAAAGAATGTTGATTCTCAATTTTGTCAGACAAATTTCATCTCTGTTCAACTTGATAAATGGTGTCAATTTCCGCTGTTAAAAGGTGATGAAATTGTCATTGACCAAGAATGGGAGATTCCGAGGCATTTGAGTTACGAGCCACCCTTTGCCAGAACACCTTTGGTATCTATTGAAACAAATATAATGAGCATGTTGAACCAAACTCTCCAGTACTCGAACCCAATCGTAACCCTTACTGCTCCTGAAATGAGTCATAACTCGAGTCAAGGGTCGGCGGGTAAAATGTCGAAATCGAGGAGCATGCCCCGAATTAAAACAAGTACCCCAACCCGACAAATGAGCCCGATTAAGTTCGTTGATTCCAGTGTCGCGTACCAAGAGCCGCAACAAGTGCATACAGGTCGACGGTCGGTGTCCAGGAACAGGTCTTCCGGAGCTCCAGGAAGCGCCAGGGAAAGCCGGTCTTCCCGTTATTACAATGAAGAATGGGCTAGCGATTCGGCAGCAACCGGGTCTGGACATCAGTTCACGTTCGGATGTTACGAGGGACCGAAGTTGTTGAGCAAACCGAGCAAAAAGCAGCTCGGAATCAAGAAAGGGAAATCATGGGAAAATTACGTTAATGCGGTAAGTCCGTCTTCTGTTTTTTTAAAAATTTTGTTTGAAAAGTAAGGTGGACTCAAGGTTGATTGTCTGCCTTCCCTCGTCACAATTAAGTCTGCCTTCCCTCGTCACAATTAAAACTGTCATTTTTCTTTTTTAAAACTGGTGCCTTCGTTTGTTTTTTCTTTTACATAACTTTTTTTAAACAGCTAGCTTTTGATGATCTTTTTTGAAAAAAAGTTCTGCAATAATGAGATCTATCACATCCAGTTTGAGGGCTGTTTTTCAAAAATTTGCCTGCGATTCAGAAAATTTAGCCAAAACAGGGTATTTTTAGTGCTTTAGAAGAGCTCGGAAAATCAATTTAGTCAATTTAAAAAAGTCGACAAAATTTTTTTTTGAAAATCCGCCCCCCCCCCCCCCCACTCGATAAAATCTTAGATCCGCTCATGAATGGAAGTCATAAGGTTTAATGGTTTCAGCTACCGCCCAAAGTGACATTTCCCTCGCGAGTAGTCACAAACGAACACACCATTTCAAACAGCTCCATGTCAGACAACGCAGAGTCCGAAACAGAAGCACTCTCACACTCTTTCGCGAAACTTTTAGAACCTTCTGTTCTGACGTCACCGGTTCCGATGATTGGCTGCAGATGTGATGCTTGTATATACGTGTTCCAGCATGCACCGCTGGGACCAGATGACGTCAATCATGATATTGAGAAGTCAGTTTTCAATCAATCATTTTTCAGAAAAAAAGATATTTCTTTCTTCACATGAAGTTTATTGGGATCTACTAAACAATCTCCCCCTTTTTAGAACGGTAGGGGGGGGGGGGGGGTGGCGATTGTATGTAGATTAAAACTGTCACAAATTTTCGACCAATCAGAATGCATCAAAATTAGAAGTTGCAATAGAAAGTTCTGTGCTAATTAGCTGTAATTATTCATAGGGGAGATTGTTAAGTAGATTCCATAGTGTGGGGCTTGTTAAGTAGATCCGTTTACTGTTCCGACCGTTTCACCAAACGGGAAGAAGGCACTAGGGCGCAGATTTTCCACCCAATTTTAGACACTTGAAGAAAAACTGGTTTTGGGTCATTTGAAGAAAAACTGGTTTTGGGTCATTTGTAGCATCACATTGAAACTCATCTTGGTCGTGAGTTTCTAGAAAAAAAATTGAAAAGTTGTCTCAGTGTCGAGAAAAAGTGGTCCGATGTTTTGGATGCTCAGATGAATTTCAGCTAAAGAGTGAAGCCTTGATTTTGAGAAATTATGTTTTAGAAAAGGATCTTTTTGTTTTCTTATTTATATATTTGAACTCCCGGTTTGAGTCGATGGCCCAGAGTTGTCATCGATGGCCCAGAGTTGTCTTCGTCTGATCTATGCTGGTGTTTATTGTTTCTAAACACTGCGAAAATAAGCTGACGCAGTAATAATTTATTCTGCGACGCCAATTCACACAACCAATTTATAAATTTCAAAGAATAATATAACCCGCGTCAGTGTCACAAAAATTTTGAATAATGTTAAATTTTTGTTTTTTGAATTTTTTGTTACCGATTTTATTGGTTTTTTTTGTTACCAATTAATAAAAGCTATGGTCTGAATAGCCTATGGTACATGCCCAGCAGCCTACTTTTCTTGTTTTTTAAAATAAAAACTGGTAGCTCAAAAATAATTGAATGAATTTTGCTATCTTTTGTAGACTGGGTCTTGTGCTGGACGAGAGAGTGCGACTGGTGGATGGGAGGGGTGGACATGTGAGATATATTGGACACATAGGCTGCTCCTCAGACCCCTACTCAGTCTACGCAGGAGTCGAACTCCACACTCCACACACAGGTCACACATTTTTTTACATCAGAAAGTACGCACTCCCCGTCTAAATTACTACTTGATAATAATAATAAAATAATAATGAAAATAATAATAATAATAATAATAATAATAATAATAATAATAATAATAATAACAATAATATTAATAAAATAATACTAGTAATAGTAATAATACAAATAATAACCATACTAATAATCATAATAATATTAATAAAATAATCGTAATAATAATCATAATAAAAATAATAATCATAATACTAGTAATAATACAAATAATAATCATAATAATATTAATAATACAAATAAAAATCATAATAATAACAAACATAACAAGACTGCTCGTATCAGGGCGAAGCCCTGAATGTTCCGACTGCCTTTTAAGGTTTTGTGGAGCAGTAATAACATTAAAAAATTAAATGTAAGAAAAAACAAAATGAATTTTTTCTAAAATTTGAAATTTGTTATGAAAATCATCCCCCCACACGCCATATAAAGTACAAAAAGATAGATTTTGCTCCTTGTAACAAATCAATTATGGCAAATAAGCTTCTTTTAACCAATTTGGAACGATTTCTAAGACGGATTAACTCTCCGCTTACGCGTTAATAGCGTCTCAATAAAAGTGAAGCAAAAAAATACAAAGACAAAAGTATCGCGGATGAGAAAAAAACAGACGCATCCACTCACTATCTCAATCATTCCTGTCTGAGTTAGTTGTTGAGTGCGACTCAAGGCCGCTTTGCGACTCAAGATCGGTTTCTTGAGTCTAAAAATTTCCCGTGGTGCCACTTTTGCAACTTAACCAGTCAGGCTGTGGTAGACCTGAAGCTAGAGGTCAAGTGTGAGTTCGTCCTTCCACACTATTTTGCCAAGTCAGAGGATTGATTACACAATCTGACAATCACAAAGTGAACGCCTTACTGTTGCTAAGTCAAACTGTTGGAAATATCGTTGACGTTGAGCATTACCATTTCAAAAATTGAAGACCTAGATACCATACTTTTCTTGAGGCGTTTTCAGCTGCGAAAATAAAATTTTTTCTATGAAACAATTCCACAAAAAAAAACATTAGGCTTCAAGTCAAAGTTGTTCCATTTTTACTATAAACTGTTTTTTGTTATGAACAAACCACAATTTCAAAAAATGAAAGATGAACATCATCATGGTCCGCATTGATATTTAACATTTGCGAAAGCTTCTTAATTTGGTGACAAGTGCCAATCAACTTGAAAGTACGATAGAAATATGCTTCTTTGAGCGTTCCGACGAATGAAAATTGATAACTTGAAAAAGTTTTGAGCAGTTTTCCAAATGAAACTCTTCAATAAAGCTTTATTAAAAAAAGTAATTCTACACTTAAAATAGTTTTCAAGTGTTTTTTTTCCACGGTGTTTAATTATTGTTCTTTCTCCATTGTCTCAGTTGCTCTAGCCGCTTCTGTTTTTGAGGCGGTTTCACTTTCACCGTGTAATATTTTTTCATCGACCACCTTCTGTAGGACCGATGCTATTGGCTCTTCATGGTCCAATGAGAATCCACTAATTTTATCGACCCTTTGATTGATCAATTCAGTGTTGAGCTCCTGTCTTTCGAGGTCGCTTAACTGAGACGAGTACTCGATTTCAAAAGTGTTCTCGACAAGAACCAACTTCGGGTTTTGGGGTCCGTGACTTCGGATGTCTTTAACCCATTTGACCGCTCGCTTCAGCGAATACCCGAAGTTCGTGTTATAAAGTATAAAAACGATGTCCCATTTTCTGTGGTAGCCTTTAGTAATGGCGTGAAATCTTTCGATTGAATTCGTCTCGTACATACAAAGCTTAACGAACTCGTTCTCCGAATCCTCGCGACGCTCGATTCGTCTTTTCGTCGTAATGTCTTTGTCGGATTTCCGACTCGGGTTGAAATCTTTCGTCACGTTGCTGATGAAGGAGGACTTTCCTGTTTTCGCTACGCCCAAGACAGCGATACTTAAAACGGGGCGCGTTGTGAATAAATCGGCGTTCATGAAAATTGGGTCGTTTGTGGATTCTTGCAACGACATGCTAGTCAAAGGCGGCATTATATCTGATATTTGAATTATATGTTTTGAGCAGCGTACTATTTGAAACGTATTATAAAAAGCTTTGTTAAAAAATTGTTCACTTTTTCAAGGTAGTACACAAACGCTTTGTTTTCAAAGACTTAACAGTTTGAGTGCGCGGTCGGTTTGAAAGATTAAACTATACGCGTGGAGCTTTTATTTTTTTAATGCCATTTAAAAATAAAGCAAATACTTTCAGTACTAGAAACCATCTGCTTTATAGATAGAGCAAATTAATGTGCTCCAGTCAGAAAGTGAAAAAGAATTGCAAAGAGGCGTCGTCAAAATAGAACATGAAACTTTGTAATGAAATCTCGGGAAACTTTAATCAACCGTTGGCTGCGGATGATCCCGGTCAAAAACTTTACTCCTTTCATCACCCTAAACACCTTCAATAGTTTTGATGCAATCATTTTTGACTGAGGCCCTCAAATAATTTTTGGTTGTTATTTAGCATATAAATCTATTTATTCACTCATTTTGAGGAGCTTAAAATCCACAGTTTTGACAAAAATCTCGATAAAATCTGAAAAAATTTGCCCTGAAAAACTTTGTATTCGGCTAAATATAAATCTAAAAATCTAAATCGTGTAAAAAAGCAATTGTACTGTTCAGCAGTTTTGTTTTATTATTTTCTAAAATTTTGAAATTTGAAGTGGGCCCATCCTGATAGAATTGGTATTATCTGCAATAGCAAAAGCGTTTATGTGTTATTCAATGCTTAGAACAATAAAAAAAGAAAAAATACTTGACAAATCTCACAAAATGTTTCTGTAACTTTTGCTTTGTTTTCAGTTTTGCCAATTAGCGAAATTTTCTGAAAGTTTGTTCGTGAAACCTCATAAAACCTTTCAAATTTATTCGAATTAATTGAAAAGTTATAAGCCATAATGAAATTTTATGGAGCTTTATGTAGTTTTGTAGTAACAATCGAGGACTGAACTCGAGAAAAAAATGCAAATTTGTTTCAGCGTCCGGTTACTGTGACGGCAGTATTGGAAATGTGCGCTACTTTTCAACCCGACCTAACAGAGGCGTATTTGTACCCTACCAGCAAATCATATCCACCGAACGAGACCAGGTAAACTAATTTGACCTCCAATTGGATAGAAATTGCAGACTGTCCAGCTAACATTCAGGGTAATCCCAAGACCGAATGTGCAAAAATTTTGTTTATTAATCAAATAATTCAGCAATGAAAAATAAGTTAGTTTTGAAGGACGCTGATTAGGATGCTATTTTTTGAAGGATTCTGATTGGAAGGTATTTTTGGTGGACTGTTTGAAGGATGCTGATTGGATGGTATTTTTGATGGACTGTTTGAAGGACGCTGTCAATTCTTCATGGCAAATTGTTGAGAAAACAGGTCAAAAAGGGCTCAAAAGGAGGCGTTTTTAGGCACTTTTTGGACGATTATGACCAGAAAGTTGAATTTTTCGGCGCGCGCTTCCTCTAAAAATTAGTATATATTGGCTTCAAAGGAACATTTTGATAAAAATTAGGGCCATCCAGCCAAAAATGGAGGTAGAAAATTAGAATCGAAGGGGGGACTCTTTGGGTAGTCGAATCTACGAGGGGGATGGCATGATAATGTATTCATTTTTTCACACCAAGTCAGACTATATCACCAGAAACAAATTAAAAAATTTTGACTCAAAAAGATTGGAAGTATGTTATATCAATCGTTTTTGCTCAGATCGGGTGTTCTTATAAAAACTAAATACATTTGTCAAGGGAAAATTTTGTGTTTTAGAACGCAAAAAAGACAGCTATGAAAAGAAGCACAAGCAGTTACAAATGAAACACCCATCTTTCTGAAAACTGGCTAACTGCAACCAAGTTAAAGCCCTGATGAATGAACTGAACTTACTAGCAACGTTGATATTAAAACTGCTTGAAGCCTATTGAATTGAAATTGTGGTCTTCAAATACAGTGATTCTGAATAACTGGCTTTTGAGTGTCCGCTTTCTAGTTATTACTGCGGTTCTACTAGAAAACGAATCTTTTCCCAGTTGTAACAAACAATATGTAATTTTTGATTAAGTATGTAAGTTTTGATGAGATTACCGAATGTGAATCGGATTTTGAGATACATGGTAATGAGCTAAGCTAGTGGCAATTCAAATTCAGTCGAGAATGCGACCGAAATGAAATGATTCAATTTTTTGGTGTCGAGAAAATGTGGCTGCGTAAAAGACGTTAAGAATAAGGTGAGTTTTATTTTAAAATGTGATTATCTCTATAGTTGCTCTGCTCGGGATTGAATTTCACTACACCATAAAACTTTTTTAAAACTGATTTAATCAAAAAGCTAAGATGTCAACAAAGTTCGTTTCGGCTTCATTTTCTGGCAAGGATATCTAAATTTTGTGTAATGTTGAATGGTATAAACACTGAGGAAAATCACAACATTTCTAGGCCGGTCTCGCTTGCTATTTCACACCGTCGCAATATGTTCCCTTTGGTACTGAGGTCAGCGGAGCAACCGATTCCCAGTACTGTTTACAATCCCAAAAGGGTTGATTTGGTGGTTGGCTGCTCTGTACTGTACTATGCTGCTTGCCCCTCGGTTTCTGCTCCTTCGACTGTATTTTGCCCGTCAATCAATAGTCGATCGCAACAACAATTCCAATAATGAGAATGAATATAACCAGATACAGAGTAGCCTATAACTGGCTGAAATATAAATTAATCGTTCAATTAAGGAAAAGGGTCCGCGATTATTATTAACCAACTGACTGCCTCCAACGATTTATCATTATTTCACTCTTTACTATCTTCCCAGAGTTATCCCACTTAACTACGATTTATCCCCGAAAGTACCTAAAAAAATCACCTCACCCGATAAATTAACAACTTTCACGAAGTTGTTCCGTTAAGGTTTTCGTAATTTTTTATAACCGACTTGCTTAGTCTTTGTCAACTTTCGTTCTCACTTTACGTCTGTTTACTCCTAGTTTTAGTTAGAGATCCGACATCCCGAATAGGTCTTAACATTTACTTCTTATGTCTGTTTACTCCTAGTTTTAGTTAGAGATCCGACATCCCGTATAGGTCTTAACATTTACTTAAGTGCCTCCTACGCAGCGTTTAAGTTCTTAGTTCCAGCACGATCACATTACTTTAAAAGCCAATCAAAGCTATGCTAAACAAATAACAAGTGCAACTTCAACTTCATATAATTCAAGTTATATTTACATATCAAAACGCCCAAGGACTTTATTTAGTTTTCCCGTAACTTTTACCTTCTCCCATGACTAGGATACAATCCCATTGAACTTAATTTCCCGTTCATCATAATCCAAAAATTCCCATAAATAACCTATTCAAATTCCAACCTAATCGATCTTCGTGTTTAGCCGTTCCCTTACGTAAGCCGGGTCCAATTGAGCAGAAAAAACATCCCCCAGAAGCCAATGGAATATCCTGTACGATCCTAACATTTAGATTAGTTAATTCCCTATTCCCTTGCCTATATAGCTAAATAAGTATGTGACTACTTTTCTGTGCCGTTGACGCATTTCTGTTTGTAGTTCATTCACCAAGTCAGATTGAGCCCAATGTTTGCTTAGCTCACTCCTAATACTTCAAACAACATACCATTATACATTAAGCCAAGATATTCTATCGGTTTCGCAGAAATGCCTAATCAATTCAGCATACATGCAAATCAATGTTCCCAGATCCATAAAATCGTCAATGAGCCCCACTAATTACAAAACATATAATTTGAGCTATTTTCCGGTGTTAATTTAGGGGGTTTTGGGCTAAAATCCAAAAAATCAATTAAAGGTCACCCGGGGTCAACCGCGGTTAAATCTCACATATTCGGTTTGAGGTCATATGAGGGTCATGCCTACCAATAACCATCCATATCCGACAATTACTTCCTAAGTTATTCAGTTTATTAGGTCCTTTATCGCTTTTCCCGGGAAAGGTCAATTAGCACCTGGTGGGTCAACTGGGAACTAAGACTTACAGGGACCCTTTTTTCAGGGTGGGTCATACTACACATTAAAGCCATAAAATCGATATGCCCTAGCTCAGTATTTTGCTCAAAATGCCTATAACAACTCCAGGGGGTAGTTTTCCCAAGTGCTAATACCCCGTGTCATTATCACCCAATCGGGCCATCGCCCTTACATACGATAGACCATGTCACTATATATCATCCCTGTAAGTTTCAGCTCCCTAGGATCACTGGGGGTCGAGAAATAGCCTCCGGAAGTCGTGTGGTGGTTTGTTTGTTTAGAGCGTAAATTGGGCCGGGATAACCTTGGGGTTCCGAAACTTCAAACTTAAGCTTTCCTCACCTAGGGCTACCACATAAATAAGTATGTGACTACTTTTCTGTGCCGTTGACGCATTTCTGTTTGTAGTTCATTCACCAAGTCAGATTGAGCCCAATGTTTGCTTAGCTCACTCCTAATACTTCAAACAACATACCATTATACATTAAGCCAAGATATTCTATCGGTTTCGCAGAAATGCCTAATCAATTCAGCATACATGCAAATCAATGTTCCCAGATCCATAAAATCGTCAATGAGCCCCACTAATTACAAAACATATAATTTGAGCTATTTTCCGGTGTTAATTTAGGGGGTTTTGGGCTAAAATCCAAAAAATCAATTAAAGGTCACCCGGGGTCAACCGCGGTTAAATCTCACATATTCGGTTTGAGGTCATATGAGGGTCATGCCTACCAATAACCATCCATATCCGACAATTACTTCCTAAGTTATTCAGTTTATTAGGTCCTTTATCGCTTTTCCCGGGAAAGGTCAATTAGCACCTGGTGGGTCAACTGGGAACTAAGACTTACAGGGACCCTTTTTTCAGGGTGGGTCATACTACACATTAAAGCCATAAAATCGATATGCCCTAGCTCAGTATTTTGCTCAAAATGCCTATAACAACTCCAGGGGGTAGTTTTCCCAAGTGCTAATACCCCGTGTCATTATCACCCAATCGGGCCATCGCCCTTACATACGATAGACCATGTCACTATATATCATCCCTGTAAGTTTCAGCTCCCTAGGATCACTGGGGGTCGAGAAATAGCCTCCGGAAGTCGTGTGGTGGTTTGTTTGTTTAGAGCGTAAATTGGGCCGGGATAACCTTGGGGTTCCGAAACTTCAAACTTAAGCTTTCCTCACCTAGGGCTACCACATACCTAAAAATGAGCTCAATCGGACCAGTAGTTAAGGATTTCCGGTGGGGCCATTTGCACTTCCGGGAACCGTTATCACTCGGCCCCGGGGGGTCGGGTGGGTCCGGCTTTTTGCATGCCCGGGTCAAATCATCTCTAGTATCACTCCACATAATTTCGTAAAGTTCACCCCGGTACAACATGAGTTGGCGTGACTGTCCGGGGATATTCAACCACCCGATTTTTCTGCCATAGGAGGGACTATATCTTTGAAGATTCAAACTGTTTTGGATATGACTATTTGTTTACTTCTCTATTTATCGTATCGATTTGTCAATACCGAGCTCATTAGCCTTCACTACGCTGCATACAATTCCCATGGTAAACCTCTCAGCCAAAGTCTGAGTTAGGCAAAAGTGTTAGGATCACTGATCCTACAGTCTTCCCTTCCAGTCTATTAATGTCCCCAATAATGAAAAAGTAACTTCTAATAAGGCCTAATGATAAGTTACATATTTTTTCGCTTCGCCGTGCTCCCTAAGACTAAGTCGTTTTCCCTCCCGTTTAAGTTTTAACCTTAAAATATTGCGGACCACACAGTTAGTCACCGTTAAATAAACAATTATGTAGCACGAAGAGTAACCTAAGAGGGAACGTAACTGAATTAATTTTACTCTTCATGGTACGATCCAACCCTTTCACATTCATAATCATCATAATCAATTGTCTGACAACATTTCAAGTGGGATCGCACTCAATATAAATAAGCACCAACTAATGAGATAAAAAGAGACAGTTTACTAATGTAAGTTTTAACTCATAAACTTGTCGATTCCGAATCGTACAGGTGGTCTTCTTACTAGAGTTGCTCGACCGTCATTATCTGCAGTTCCAATTTCCATCACCTGTTCGGCAGCCATCACCTCGCCAGGTGGTCTGTCTTCCGCCTCCCAGGGTAGATTCGACGGCTTCTCTTCCCTTATGGCCTCCAGCTCCGCCGCATTGTATGCCTCAATCGAATCTTCCTCCCTCCTAGCAACTTCTCGCATCATTCGTGGTAAATCAGCGAAGTGTTCGGATATGGCCCGAATTCGCACATTTCTCCCGGGCGGATTAAATTGTGGCTCGACTGCTCGATTTCTCACAGGCAACAACCTCACTGGTACATCTCGTGGGCCTGGGTCATGGCTAAAACCCTCCCAGTTGTTCGCCCCCAACAAATCATCTTCATCATACATCTCCGGGTCATCGAAGAAGTTAACCGACCGATAGGGTGTCGGTCGCTTGCTGCTAGTAGCCTCATCTGACTGTGCAGTCTCTGCTTTGAATCGCTTCAGCATGTTGAAGTGCAAGAACTTGACTTCGCTAGGAGTTGACTCGTTTGCCATTATGTAGTTCACTCCAGATATTCTCGCCAGTACAACATAAGGTCCTTCCCATGGATCAAAGTGCTTCCTCGACTTGAACTTTTCCTTCGCCCACACCCAGACTTTATCTCCAGCTTTGTATGGATCTCCATGAACTTTCTTCCACTACTGATCCTCCTGTCGTCGTTGATCCGTCCCAAGGATTTCTCTGGCACTGCTCGGGCATCTCGGAAGAACTCATCTAGTTCCTCTGCAAAACTATCCTTCGTCGGCAATTCGTCGTGAGGTTTCGCGTAGAACAGGTCAATGGGGTACTGGCATTCCTGACCATAAACCAGACTGAATGGTGCTGCTCCCGTCGTCCGATGAATAGTCGTGTTGTACACAAAACTCAAATACGGCAACATCGTATCCCAACTCTTTGGGTGCTCCGCACAG